ATCTGTTGGGGAATTTACCCTTATCGCCTCAGAAAGTCGCCGCCTCCTCGCTCAACGGTCTATCTTAGTTGGCGTGAGAGTAATGTCCTGTTTACCCGGAGGAAAATGCCTCGTGTCAATGTGGAATTCAACTCTATCGTCCCAGGAAATTGTTCGTCTCATATAGTATCTGACACGTTATCTCCAGCCTCTATCTGATGTATTAGTAGTGTGTAAGTGTACTTGAATTAAAAGTATTATTGTCTAATGGTAGACCCTGCTGCCACATGGCATCACGAAAATTGTGACCAAGTCCCAGGTTGCTGATCTGACTTTCTGCCTCATTTACACACAATTGCAGGGTCTCAATTGTTTCTCTTACTTTGACAACACAACATACATATATTGTTTCTCACTTTTGATCATTTTTTCATTTTTGTATTTCTTTATGGTTCTTTATTATTATTATTATTATTATTATTATTATTATTATTATTATTATTATTATTATTATTATTATTATTTTATTATTCTGTTTTCAATTTTATTTACTATGAATTATTATTATTATTATTATTATTATTATTATTATTATTATTATTATTATTATTATTATTATTATTATTATTATTATTATTATTACAAATACATTTTTGCCCCCCAGGCCCCGTTGTGGGTCAGTGACCTGTGCCCGGGTGGGCTAATCCCCGTAAGAAATATAATAAAAAAAGTGTACTTGAATTATAAGTAGAGTGTAAGTGTACTTGAATTGTAAGTGGTTTCTGTGTCTTCATGGGCCACCTCACCACTCTCACTTCCTTACCACATTTGGCGTCGATCTGGCCAGTTGTTCCAACCTGCTCATACCCCTTACTATCACCTTGGGGTACTCCTAACCTACCGGGGATCTGTGACGAGCAAGGCAGTGTTAGAGACATGTTATCATAGCTCTTAACACCCCTGGCTCCTCGTGTTAAGAGATAGGGAAGGACTTTGCCAGATCAGTGAGTGTATAATAATTGATGCTTAGGTTATTGGTTGATGAGGGTGTGTTGCTGTGAGCGTTGATGATGCGCGTAAAAATTCTTTTATATATTGAATTTGTTTTCCGTCTTGGTGGATAGTGTTGTTGACGAGTGACTGGATGGATGGTCTCGTTGTAGAGTTATGGTGGAGGTGAGGAGGAAGTGTTAGTGGTGCGGAGTCCTTGACCTTAGTGGAGGTGGAGTGTGTTGAGTGGAGGTGGAGTGTGTTGAGGAGTAGAGGCTGCACCCACCTGTCCTCACCGCGATGAGTCACCTGCTTCAGTGAGTCAAGTGAGATTTTTAAGGACGAAGTGACCTCATTCTTGGCTGGTGTTATCAGTTATCGTCATCAGCGGGTCATGGTGTGCTGGTCTGCCAAACTTCTCACGTCTACGAAATATTGCCCCGGTGTCTCCGCATCCTCCCCTCACACTGTTACTTCTCCACACATGGTATAGGGTGGTACAACCAGTGTCTGTGGGCCACCTGGTGAATCTTGAGAGTTGTGTTGCTCTGGTGCCCACATTGTAGTACACTATGAATTAATTATTACTTAAAGGTAAGTGACGGTGGTGATCGAGTGTAAGGCGTTGGCATAAAGTTGTGAATTAATTGGAAGTTTGCGTGTGGCTGGTGGTTAGGTGAGCGGCGGGTGGTGGTGGCGACGTTGAATCACGTCAGCTGTGCAACAACTTTAACCAAGACCGGCGTTAGGACCTTTGTGTTTCTTTCTTGTATATGCAACTGGTGTAGGTCTTATCATCGTCACCATCATCGTCACCATCATCACCACCATCTTCGTCACCATCACTTCAAATGATATTGACGTCGCAGATAGATTGAGGCGGTGTGTCCCTGAGTGTTGGAGGAGGAGGAAGGTCATGTGATACTGATTGATGACGGTGATTGACTCTAAGACAGGGAGTGACACTTTAGTCGCCCCTTTACACCACTGACAGACAGACAGGATCAACAAGGGGGAGATGGTGGGTAGGGGAGAAGGAGATGGGGAAGGGGGATAGTTAGGTGTGGCGGAGTGGTATAGTGTTGTAAGCTTGTGTTTAAAAGAGACGCTGGTGGTGTTAGTGGCGTTGATCATCAGTCACCACACAAGGGGCGGGCGTCATGTGGTAGTGGCCGCTGGAAACACCATATATCAAAGGGGTGTGTGTGTGTGTGTGTGTGTGTGTGTGTGTGTGTGTGTGTGTGTCGTGCAGCAGGTATGCGAGGTGTAATGGATATGTAGAACTGGCACATATCCTCTCTTTCAATGTCCGAGTGACACGCAGGGGTACAATACTATATGTAAACTGTATATATATATATGTAACCCAAAATTAGTGAAGAACCATTTATTTTTGGCGTTTTTATCATTATTGTCATTACCTTCAATATTCTCACCTGTGTCCCATTATCATTTGCACAGGTAGCCAGCACCGTCCTGCCAATGTTTCCTGGAAGTGTGACGTTATTTTATAATTCACGATGTTACGCGTTATATTAATATTAAATCGTTCTGCTGTTGTCACGCTCACTACGCTATCTTGGAGACCCTAGTGGCGACATCTGGTAATTACGTCTTCAGCCTCGAGGGTAGACTTGTGAATTTTTGGTTTATTAAGTGTTGAAGCAGCATGTGTGTGTGTGTGTGTGTGTGTGTCAACCAATGACCAGTAATGTGGACAGTGTATAGTGAGAGGATGGGTTAGGTTGGGTTAGGTTGAGTTGGGTTGGAGTTTGGGTTAGGTTGAGTTAGGTTGGGTTGAGTTAGGTTGGGTTGGGTTGGTTGGGTTGAGTTGGGTTGGGTTGGGTTGGGTTGGGTTGGTCAATTCAGGTCAGGTTGGGTCGGGTCAGGTTGGGTTAGGTTGAGTTGAGTTGGGTTGGGTAGGTTATTGGGGGAGTGTTATTGAGGGTCCTGACAGCTGCCTGATCCGCCTTCAAGTTATTGATTCATCTTGACTATTAAGTAATGCATCTGCTGTGTTTTACTGTTAATTGGATAATATAGTCAGGGGGGCAGCAGCCAGATAGTATTAGCGTTGTCGGGAGGTGGCGGCAGATATATTCGTTGTCAAAAGGGTGGGGATGGCAAGATAATAGTCGTTGTCGAAGTGGGATAGTCACCAATATCGAGTCGTTGTCAGAGGGGCGGGATGGCAACGAAGATAATATAGTCGTTGTCAGAGGGGGCGGGGATGGCAACGAAGATATCTATAGTCGTTGTCAGAAGTGGGATGGTCCTTAATATAGTCGTTGTCCGGGGCGGGATGGCAGAAGATAATATAGTCGTTGTCGGGGGGTGGGATGGTCACCAATATAGTCGTTGTCGGGGGGCTGGGATGGCAACCAGTAATATTTCACGAGTTGCCATCATAAATCTCGCTGATGATCCGGGCTGTAAAATATTTAACAAGGGCGCCATCATATATTACTCCCATGGTGACGTGTGTGATGGCGGTGATGATAAAAGTTTATGACACTGATAATTTAATGCATGTTTATTGTTATGTTTTGTTGTGTGTGTGTGTGTGTGTGTGTGTGTGTGTGTGTGTGTGTGTGTGTGTGGAAGCAGGCCGCCACCTTCTATGATTCACCATAAACCATCCACGAAATAATTCCATAAACAAACTTTTCCCTGCCCCCTCTCTTCAGTCAGTGGGTGGCTCTGTGGTGGTTACCGTCCATCTGTCTGTCAGTCTGTCTACCTTTTTCAATGAAGTTACCATCGTGAACTAGGGGTTTAAACTTCAATCTCTATGTGTTAATGCATGTTGTGTCTACAGAACTACTCTACGTGTATGGTAACGAGCGCCACCTATGTGTTGTAGATCACATCTCTTATAGTTCATGGTTGTTACAGAAGTTGTTGAAATGTTGTAATCATGTTCTTTCCTCGTGTTTGTTTTAATTGATATTTGTGTTTATTTGTGTATCTTGAGTTGTGTGTGTGTGTGTACGTTGATTAGTATGTACGTGTGTGTCTCCCAGCTGTATAATTATCATATAACGTTTACGGAGAATCTTTTACGGGATTCATCTTATTAAAATGATCGACTTCATCTTCTCCACAAGGCCCCGTGGTGTTGGGGGTGAGCCAGGCTGTGTAGTGCTTCAGGCGGTCACGGCTTAGTGTCCAGTGTTAGCACTTGAGGCGGAGAAGAGCGCTCGTGGATGGTGAAGGGGGGGATAGTTGAATCAGGGAGAGGATGTAGCGGTAATGGTGGAGAGTGGACGGGTGTGGTGGTAGACCCAGGTGGGGGGGTCTCCTCAAGGACTGAGGAGTAGAGAGAGGTGGTCGGAGGAAATGAGTTTTTTCAGCAGGGTGTGGTAGACAGGTACGGTAGTGAGGGTCGATATAAACGTGAACCAGGGAGTGAACGAGGCCTTACCTGGTGCCGCACCTGGTCAGCTCCCCCAAGGTGGCTGAGGAACAGGTGTGCGAGACAAGAACATCTATTGTGGCTCACCCTGTGCGTGGGTTATCTCGCTACGTCTACCTAGTCTCCATCCCCTTCCTCCTCCTACTTCCTCTCCCCTCTCCTCCTCCTCCCCCCCTTCCTCCTCCTTCCTCTCCCCCCCTCCTCTCCCTTCCTCTCCCCCTCCTCTCCTTCTCCCCTTCCTGTGCCCACACTTGCTCCTCTCCTCGGCAGGGTGTACTGTGTTGGTGTACGTGTTGTGTAGGTGTAGTGGTTACCTGTGTGTGTATGTGTGTGTCTTGGTTTATGTGTATGATGTATTCATAGTTTAATATGTTGGTGTACGTAGATGTAGACCTTAGTTATGGAGCATCAGTGTACGTGATTGCATGTGTAGGTGTATTATGTAGACTGTGTTGCGATGTATATACTGACCTTATATAAATGTCGTGTACACATATGGACACACAGTGTAGGTGTACTCACATAGTACACAAGTGTGTTTAACGGATTGACTACATAATCGGAGAGTCACTCTCGATGTCGTGGGTAACTGTGCCCGTCTTGTATTCTTAACCAGGTCAGGTCTAGCCACTCTCGGCCCCGTGAACAACACTAAAGGACACTCCTCCTTCAGCGCCACAATCGGCCTCCGCCTCGATATCGATTCTTTAGTCAGTGTTGAACAATTGGTTAGAGCCCATGACCGGAGTGTGAGAGATGTGTGAGAGGGCGCCAGTGACGGGGCTCACCTGTCCACTCACCGCTCCCGGGAGACTGGTGCTACCCCCCAGGGTGTGAGACACCCTCAGGTGCCGGCCACGTGGATGTTGAGGGACACTCCTCGGGAGTTGGGTGGGTAGGGTGGCGCGTCGGAGTGATGGTGAACCATGCGCAGTGCCTACCCCCTCCTGGTGGACCAGAACGGCTGGAGTGTAGGTAACTGTAGGGACCCCACCTCCTTACTGCGATCTGTGGGCGTTGACCTCTCGCGCCCCGCCCATCATCACCACTCTCAGCACTCCAACCATGATATTGAGATTCACGTGGAGGACCCCCCGTCGTCCTTCAGCCACGAGTACCCGCAGCCCTTGGCCACCACACACGGGGAAAGGGCCGCGACCCTGGGTGGATCACCAGAGTACCGGACCCTTAAGAGGAAGTCAGGTGACAACGCCCGTACCTCTTCCATCAACAGGACGGTTCAGCGCCTCCAGCTGAGTATCCACCCTGAACCCGACCTACGCTTAGAAAACAGACGTGTAGAAGGACGTTCCGACGTACGGTCGGACAGTCGTTCAGACAGCCGGAATCAAAACACCGGGTCCTCTCGGAGCTCGGCAGCGAGCACTGCCACGCCTCGCAACTCTCCCAGGACAACATCTCCCCGAACATCTCCCCGAACAACGTACGGGGGGAGGCGGCAGGAGGGCGTGCACCCCGGGGGTGCCGCGGGCTTGGAGCAGCAGGACCGACAGCCCAACCACCGGGAGGACTTCACTCGAGGCAGCAATGGGACTGGCAACTGTGGGGTGGCCCACCCCGCCTTCAGCCTGCCCATGATGCGTCCTTCCCGGCCCTCGGAGCTCTCCCTCTGCTGCTCCTCCCCAGAGTATTACTACAACGAGGAGAGGCTGCGACAGGAGCCTGAGCCGGGTCTGCTCAACTGTTGTGACACCAAGATCTCGTGCTGCCCCTGTTCTCCCTGCTGTGAGCCCTACTGCCCTGTGGGTCACATGAACACCGTGTGTATGTCGCTCATCTGTAGCGGCATCATACTTTTCATCATCCTCTCCCCGCTCTTCCATTACCTTGTCCCCTCCTAGGTGGCGCCGCCAGGGACGCCCACCCAGTTCTTACGCCCACCTCACCAGACACCCATCTCACAGGCCCAGCTCTTCTTGGCTGACGCTAGTGTGATGGCGGGCGTGGTATTGTTGTGGGCGCTCCCTCCTGTTGACCTACATGACACACTGTTCAGGTGAGTAAAGAGGTTAATCATCAGGCACCTGTGCCTCTTACACTGACATACTGCCCTCCACCTCCCTCCATTTCCCTTCTCCTCCCTACCTCCCCCACCACCTCCCTTCATCTCCCTCCACCACCTCCCTCCATCCTGCACCACTCCTCCAACCCCCCACATCCCACATCCTCCTTCACCTCCTTCCATCCCCCTTCTACTTCCATGCATCCCATCCACATCCTCCTCCATCTCCCTCCATGCCTCCTCCACCTCCCTCCATGACCCATTCACCTTCCTCCACACCTCCCTCCATGCCCCCTCCACCTCTTCCCCCTCCACCTCCCTCCATGACCCCTTCACCTTCCTCCACACCTCCCTCCATGCTCCCTCCACCCCCTCCACCTACCTCTAGCCCCGACAACAACATCCACACTACTACCACTCATCACTATCCTCAGACTCATGTTGTGCATGTGACCTTGTAAGGCAGCTGTTGTTTATATTATGTGTGTTTATTGTTGATCTTTCTTTCCTTCTATCTTTCTTTCTTTCTTTCTTTCTTTCTTTCTATTACCTTAATAATACATGTTATCAGTATACTTTTAAAGGCCAGGTCTGCAAGTTATCACACGTCCAGATTCAGCCAAGTCCAAATCTGACAACACACTGAATCAGCCAAGTCCAAAGATAACATTAGAGTGAATCAGTCGATTACTCTGTCGTGTTAGCGTGTCCCATCTCTCTTAGGGCTCAAGCTAGGGGTCTGGTGAGTGGTGCTGGGGCCAACAGGGTCATCTGCCTCCTCCTCCTCCTCCTCCTTATTCTTCCTCCTCCTCTTCCCCCTCCTCCTCCTCTTCCCCCTCCTCCTCCTCCATCTCTTCCTGCTCCTCCTTTTCCTCCTCCTCTTCTTCTTCCTCTTCTCCTTCCTCTTCTCCTTCCTCCTCCTCTTCTTTAATTTCTTCCACTTTCTCCCCCTCCCATACTTTTTCACCGTCTTTTTTCTTCTTTTTTCTCTTACTCCTCCCCTACCACCTTTCTCCTCCCGCCTCTTTCATTCTCCCCACCTATTTCCTCCCCACTACCTACTTCCTCCTCCTCCCCTCCACCACCTACTTCCTCCTCCTCCCCACCACCACCTACTTCCTCCTCCTCCCCACCACCACCACCTACTTCCTCTTCCCCTTCCCCACCACCCTACTTCCTCCTCCCTTCCCCACCACCTTCCCCACCACCTACTTCCTCACCACCTACTTCCTCCTCCCTTTCCCCACCACCTACTTCCTCACCACCTTCGCCTTCCTCCTGTTACTGAAGAAGGGTATTCCAGGAGAACGCAGTGGTGCCCTACAGTATTGATTGATGGTGGGAGCCTCACATCATCTTGTTAGCGAGGCTCATGAGTCATCAATATCGGTCTGTGACGTCTTAGTCCCCCTGGGAGTCTCATGTAGGAGGGGGGGAGGGAGGGGGGGATGGTGGATAGGGAAGGAGAAAAGGGGGATGGGAGGGAGGTTGAGAGGGTGATGGGACGGAAGGCAGTAGGGAAGTGAGGATGGGAGGGTAGTGAGGATGGTAGGGTAGTGAGGATGGGAGGGAAGGATGATGGGAGGGTAGTGAGGATGGGAGGGAAGGATGATGGGAGGGTAGTGAGGATGGGAGGGTAGTGAGGATGGGAGGGAAGGATGATGGGAGGGTAGTGAGGATAGTGAGGATGGGAGGGAAGGATGATGGGAGGGTAGTGAGGATGGGAGGGTAGTGAGGATGGGAGGGGAGGATGATGGGAGGGTAGTGAGGATGGGAGGGGAGGTAGCTCATCTTATAGAATCCTCTTTACTTCCTACCCTAAATATTTCAATGGACGTCTCTCTTCACGTCCTCTCGTCTGGTCAATCACTTCTACCACATCAAAGCATCATTCACCACCACTTGCTGCCACCTCTTATTGCCACCACTTACTGTCACCTCTTACTGACACCACCTCCTGCCACCTCTTACTGACACCACCTCTTACTGACACCACCTCCTGCCACCTCTTACTGACACCACCTCCTGCCACCTCTTCACCAGCATGTGGGTAGAAGGTCACATTACCCCTGGAGACGTACACAGTCAGGACACCAGAAACAAGACAACAGAAAAAGATAAAAAATAAACAAAAAGACACAAGCAGAAGAAATATTTCAAGAGAACGAGAGAATAATTTTTTTTTACGTGAGAGAGAGACAGAGAGAGAGAGAGAGAGAGAGAGAGAGATTGATTGTGTGTGTTGTCTGTGATCAGTGAAATGAAGGAAACGGGTGGGATAAACCAAAGTCTCTGTCAGTGGTGCCGTGAGTGATCCTGCTGGGCTAGTTTGTGTGTGTGTGTGTGTGTTTGTGTGTGTGTGTGTGTGTGTGTGTGTGTGTGAGTGTGTGTTGCTGGAGTCTCAGGTGTTGGAACAGTCATGTGCCCTCTTGTATTTGATGTTTGATCCACTGCAGTATAATATATCTTTTTAATAGTAACAAAACAATGATTGTCGTTGTGGTGTGTATCTGGTGTTGATTGTTATTGTTAGTGAGATTTTGTCCTCTTATCCAGTCTTTTCTTCTCTTCTCTTCTCTTCTCTTCTCTTCTCTTCTCTTCTCTTCTCTTCTCTTCTCTTCCCTCTCAGCAGCCATCCCTTCACACCTTACCCTTTAACATATTTCCTTCTCATCTTATATTCTCTCAGTCTCTCGTTTCCCTGACCTCCTGTCGTTGTGTGTTTCCTCTCACTGCCTTGGCCCCTGGACCAACTCACACCTGGGGGCATGGGCCGGGGGACGCAGATAGTGGGAGATGGGGGGGGCAAGAGGGAGATACGGCCGGGTCTAAATTGTTTGGGACCGGCGTCACATTTGGAAGTGGTCCAGTCGTCTATTATTCTGGAGGACGATGATGGATGCTGCCCCAGTCACCTCCTAGCCTCCTTCTTGCACTTTAATCCTCTTCCTCCTCTCATTTTTCTCTCCTTTTTGTCATTTCTCCTTTTTTTATTATTACCCGTCTTTATTATCCTTTTCCTTTCATCTTCATAACTCTCTCTCTCTCTCTCTCTCTCTCTCTCTCTCTCTCGTGGTGAGGATTTTCCGGGGCCCAGTGTTAGGTCGTGGCGTGGGAGGCGCTCCAACAACCAGGGAGGAATAACATTGTGGGCGGCCACTTATCAATAGAGCAGAGGTGGTGTGTGTGTGAGAGAGAGAGAGAGGATGGGAGGCGGCAGTTGTAGAGGTTTATAGAGCTGGAGGAGTGAGAGTGCCAGCCAGAGATACTACTTTCTCCTCTATTACTTTTGTCCGTCCGTCTGTCTGTCTGTCTGTCTGTCTGTGTAATAGTTCTTTGAAGTGTTTTATATGAGACTTATTAACCTGTGAGTGGTTACATATTCCCTTTATGTGCTCCAGGATACCATGTGAGACTCTGGGTACAATTGGGATAATTCAGGTAAACATTGTGGGCTTATGCTCCTGAAGGTGGAACTTAGTGTGGAGGATGGTTACGCCGTCCCTCCTACAACGCTCCTTCTTTCTGGATATAATTGCAGAAGTTTTTGCATTCTGCTCGTCCCAGCACAAACTAATCTAGAATTTATCATCGTTGTCGGTAATAGGACGCGACTGTTTTAATTTGTTCCGGTAATGAGTTGTGCGTGTGTCGTGCTCTGACTGTACATGTTGCATCACAGCTGGTACACCGACACTTCACCTGTTACTAGATATGACTGTACAAGTACACCCCAGTTGGTTCACCAGAATCTTGTTGCATGCTTTAAATGCTATTTTTGTGCACTACTGATGGTGCTCAAGCATTTCACCTGATACCTGCACAATTAGGAAAGTGTGGCGGTGTTGGGTTACGAGAGTTTTTAGATCTCCCAAAACAGTTAGTCCTGATAGTCCTGGCAGCTCACTTGATACGCCTTCCGTGTGTGTGTGTGTGTGTGTGTGTGTAACCTTGTCGGTAAAATTGTTTGTCATCGGTCATGCATCACTTAGATGTACAGTCGCCTGCACTTATACCTGGTACAGTGGTTGGCGCATTTTGTGAGATGTGGCAACTCTGTGGGATGTTTATCATCCTTAGTCTGGCTACTATTCCTGGGTTCCGTATGGCCATCGGGAGTTTTAATACGATGTAAACAAACACAGAGTTGTCACATCTCACAAAACCCGCCAGCCACTGTACCAGGTATAAGTGCAAGCGACTGCACGCATTATAAAGTGGTGGGGAGGACAATAGTGTGTATTTATTTTGTCAGGAAAAGTGATCTAAGTTTGCTCAAGTTAGATTATCAACACTCTTGGGGGTAAAGTTTAAACCATAAAAACCTTCCCTGGCCTAATGTAACCAGTCTCTCTCTCTCTCTCTCTCTCTCTCTCTCTCTCTCTCTCTCTCTCTCTCTCTCTCTCTCATTATCTGTTACCGCACATTCTATACCTTCACTTTTCATAAAATATTTCCAGGTTTTATTGTGTAAGTGTAATTAAAAACTGAAGCTAGATATGAAATGAGCTGAGGAAGGAAGGCAAGAAAGAAGGAAGTATTTCTGTTATCAAAAACAAAATGGAATGTTGACTATAAAACTCTCTAATATTAAAAGCTGTTTCCCAAGAATTAACTAACCATTAATAGGTGTTTTCCTCTCCACCATTGTTCAGTATTTTCACAATGTAGATAGATAGAGGGCGGGCGGGCGGGCGGGGAGGGTGGGGGGTTATTTATCACCGACTGAGTCTCCTGTTCGTTGTTTTGTGAATCATTAATCGCATAGTACTGTATAATAAGGCCGTGTAGGAGTACTTCTTATATATAGTGTGTGGGTCTGTATAGGTAAATGTGATTAGGTATTTGTTTGTTGATGTTTTCTTGAGCCATTTTTACTTTTTATTTATTTATTAAATTATTATTATTATTATTATTTTATTATTATTATTATTATTATTATTATTATTATTGTTATTATTATTATTATTGTTGTTGTTGTTGTTGTTGTTGTTTAATTTATTACAGCCGGCCTTACTCTCTCTCTCTCTCTGCAGTACACAGCTATGCAGGTCAGGTGGTGAAGGTTAGGTTTAGGATAGAACAGGCTAGGCTATGCTAGGTTAGGTTAGGTTAGATTAGGCTAGGCAATTCTAGCCAAAGGAACACAGCGATCAGAGGAGAGAGTTTCAATCTGGGGTCCATTCTTATGTTAATGTGGGCGTGTTTTTTCGGCACCGTCAGGAAGAGAGAGAGAGAGTTTTACCTCGGCCAAGACTCACGGTGGTGGCTATTGGCAAGGGGGCCATAATTTGCGACGTACGTGTGTGTGTGTGTGTGTGTGTGTGTGTGTGTGTGTGTGTGTGTGTGTGTGTGTGTGTGTGTGTGTGTGTGTGTGTGTGTGTGTGGAAGGGCTTAAGTCTGACTGTCTGTCTGTTATTAAGTGTTGTAGTAAATTTTAGTGGAGCTCAAACATTTAGGTATAGCTAGTAAAGACTTGCTATTGGAATTACGACTGATAACTATATAAGATGAGGAACAACTGGGGAGTGAGACAGCTGGGAGTAGGAACAACCGGGAGTGAGGAACAGGTGGTGAGGAACAACTGGGGTAGGAACAGCTGGGAGTGAGGAACAACCGGGAGTGAAAGGGGAACAACTGGTAGTAGAGGAACAACTGGGAGTGAACAGCCGGAGTGAGGAACAACTGGGAGTGAGGAACAACCGGGAGTGAGGAACAACTGGGAGTGAGGAACAACTGGGAGTGAGGAACAACTGGGAGTGAGGAACAACTGGGAGTGAGGAACAACTGGGAGTGAGGAACAACTGGGAGTGAGGAACAACCGGGAGTGAGAAACAACCGGGAGTGAGGAACAACTGGGAGTGAGGAACAACTGAGAGTGAGGAACAACTGGGAGTGAGAAACAACCGGGAGTGAGGAACAACCGGGAGTGAGGAACAACTGGGAGTGAGGAACAACTGGGAGTGAGAAACAACCGGGAGTGAGGAACAACTGGGAGTGAGGAACAACTGAGAGTGAGGAACATTAACGGAGGCGAGGTGTTCTTATGTTCCGTATGGCTGTCGGTTCATGTTCCACCATGTTCCACCTGTCACTTGTGGAGGACAGGTGTGGACAGTGTTACTCAGGGCTGTCTACTGCAACTTAAACCCCCAATCAACCCAGCTGTGAAACCTCTATTTAACGGACTATATGGAGAGGAAATTCCGTTATATCGAGGATCCTGTAGATGTGAAAACCTCCATTTAACGAACTATATAGACATAATCTAACGGATTATAAGGAGATAAAAGTCCGTTATATGGAGGTTTCACTGTACCGGGGTTTAGGGGGGGGGGTTAGTATAAACAGTGAGAGGTTATGTTCATCAGTGGACAGGTGTGTTGAACCAGGGACGGGAGAGGTGGTTTTGGGGTTAATCTTAATCACTCCTGAAGACAAAGGAACAACCTGTAATATCTGGATCCTTAATTACTCTTCCTTTCTTCCTTTGTGTTTGTCTTAGTATCCTTGTTCACCTATTCCTCTCCTGTTATCATCCTTGTGTGTGTGTGTGTGTGTGTGTGTGTGTGTGTGTGTGTGTGTGTGTGTGTGTGTGTGTGTGTGTGTGTGTATGTAATAATATGTAATATTAATAAAAATAATAATAATAATAATAATAATAATAATTAACGGTTTATTGAAAGAGCATGGCAGCCGGAAGGCTGAAAATATACAGTTGCATAATTGGGGAATGGGTCTCTTGATTTACAAATATTATACAAGTAACATAAGTGATATCAATATGATATATAATGACTAGGTGGGGAGAAGGTCATACTACAGGGCATTTCAACATAGTGACAGTGCAAAAGGTAAGATTGACTGGGAGTGAATACACTGGTTGATTACAGTTTATTGATAATTTTTACAATGGTTGGGACTGGGCTGTTCTTATAACGATCAGTTCGTGCTTGTGTGGGCTGGATGCGGTTGTGGTGTCGAACAGCAATTCTCGGGCGAGGGATCTCGGGTGGTATTAGGAGCCTGTATCGAGGATGGTGCAGAAGCTTCTCACCAAATTTGCAGATGAGGTCGTGGTGATGGTCAGAGAGAGCCGAGAGGGTCAGTGTGTTGAGCGCTTCTTGATATGTGGAGTAGGAAGGGGAGAGAATAATCTTGCATGCCCTCTTTTGCACTTTTTTAGGTGTTTACGTTGTTTGGCATTTAGGGAGGAAGACCAGGTGGGGGAGGCATAGGTGAGCTTGGGAAGTATGAATGTTGAGTAAACACTGAGGAGCTCGGGCGCAGGAACTCAGAGGGACTTGAGTCGGCGGAGGAGGTGGAGACGGAAACTGAAGGATTTGACAACTTCACTGACGCGTGTTTTCCAATTTAGTTTGTTGTCTATGGTGACGCCGAGGAGCTTAGTGGAATCTACAACCTGGAGTGTGTTGGGACCTAAAGTAATGGAAGGGGGTGGGACAACGTGTGTGTGTCTGTGCTGCTGGTCAATATTGCAACCTGGTGTTACTCTCGGCTCTGGCTTGACTGTTTATTCATTCATGTTGGTTATGTCGGTGTCATGATGGAGGCTTCGTGTTAGTGGTGATGGTGGCGTGTGCTGCCCCTCCCTCCCCTCACCTACCTCCTTCCTCTCACCCATATCCCTCGCTCACCCACCACCTCTAACCCACCACCTTCCCCTCACCCACATACCCTCCCCCCACATCACCTCCCACTCTGATCCCCCATCTACCCCCCCTGTGCTAACTTGGCCTTGTTAACTAACCTGTGATATTTTGTCTTTCCACAGATACCAGTCTTCGTGAGTATCCCCGTGTTGGCTGGGCTGGGCAGGGCAGGGTAGGATAGACCATGGTTACTGTGCATCCCCCCCCTCCCTCCCGTTCTCCTATACTGACTGTGCTGTACTCAAGTCTTACCTCCTGCTACCGTCGTGCATGATGCCCCTCGTGTCCCCTGCTTGATGATTTAACACACACACACACACGCACACATACAGACACACAGGCACAGCACATCATAATACAAGCACACATAGTACAGCACATCATTACACACACACACACACACACACACACACACACACCTCGCCCTACTCCCTCCTCACTCTTTCTTGTGTATATAAAAAGAGCTAAGTATAATTAACACAACAACTCAGTATGCGACAGGACTCACTAATACAGGTGAGAGTGTCAGGGGAGGAGGACCGCGCGGCGCCTCACTCACAGTATCTCACCTGTCTGTGTACCAAACCTTTCAGCCAGTGATGAGGGGAATAAGATGGAGGACTAGGGAGGTGTTTGTGTACAAGAGTTACTTTCATTTTGTTTTTCTATTAACACACACAGGTTGTAGTTGCCTGTAGTGTAAAAGATTTCACATTATAGCCGAGTATAGGGAGACTTCAGCATAGTCTGGGTGTGACCTGATACAGAGACAAATGTGTGACACCCATTTTAGTGTGAGTTTATTGACCTCTGTTGCCTGTACGTTTATCACACAATACCATTTTTTTCTCTCTCTAGGTAATCTGTCTTATTCTACACTCACTCGTCACACCACAACACGAATCATCCTAATTGGTCCTGGTTATTAGTGTGAGTATAGTGGTATTGTGTCTCGCACCGTGATTGGTTAGTCAATACAGCGAGGAGAAGGTAATGGTTGGTGTTAGTCGTGCTCCAATACCAATAATACTCCCCTACTTGATCCAGTTCCCCTGTATCAACACTGGTGATTTGAACCGCCCTGCCTCGCCTCGCTCCTTCCTGGTACCTCACTCTTAAAACTGTCCCTAATAATCTACTTTGGTAATAGTAATATTTCTTGTATTATAATTTTACTGTATGGGCCTGATATGGGGGTATAAGTTGTCCTCTTGTGTGTAAAAAATGGTTTAAAAGTTTTCTATCTGTAGTGACATAAAAGGTAACCAACTACTCACTCTTGGCAATTTACTAAAGGGGGAAACTTGAGGGGGAATTCTTCTTCAACGTGTCGACGATTTGATTAGCAACGTGTCAAGCGGATTAAAACCAAACTAATCCTTAACCTAAGTGAGATATGGCTGATTGACTGACTGACTGACTGACTGATTGATTGATTGATTGATTGACTGACTGACTGACTTATTGACCCTCACATCTCTCAGAACCTGGTTGAGTGAGGGAGGAGTGGCGCTAAGCTGTCTATACCTACCTCCCTCCCTTACTTTCATGTCCAGGAAAGCTTTATACCTCCTGTGCTCGCCTGAAGTGTGTCACCGACGTTTAACCTTAAGAAATGGAAATGGAAAAAAAATATGTCTTGTAGAGTTAGATGGAAATTTAGGTAAAGGTGTATACTGGGGCAGAAGAAGTAAAGAAACAAACAAAAAGTGGACAGAGAATGTAGAAGAACTGCACAAAAACAACGATAAAGAGTGTAAATAAGGAAACAAAAAGGAAATCAAATTGAAGTTTCTGATTTGGGAAACAAGTTGAGGCAGCATTGAAAAATATAATAATAGAAGCCTGTGGGATTGATCAGCTTTTAATAGAATTTCTAAAAACAAATTATCAAAAATAGAATTAAAAGTTGGATAGAAAAGAAGGCATGTAACTATTTTGGTGAAGATCATTTATACTGCTAAGAAAACAAGTGAAATACCAAGGTCGACTGAAATAACGACAATGTGTAAATATATAGAATGAGGCCTATGAGTTACTTAGGCCATGTGATACGAAATAAGGGGATGATAGTAGTGGAGATATTAATGGGTTAAAAGTGAAGGTATGAGGGGTCAGGTGAAGGTAAGTAAAATCTCTGTTCCCGGCGATTTGTAAACACAGCCCTGACAGTATGGGTGGGTGGTCGGGTGGGTTGGTGGGTGGCCAGTATGCTCTCTCTCTCTCTCTCTCTCTCTCTCTCTCTCTCTCTCTCTCTCTCTCTCTCTCTCTCTCTCTCTCTCTCTCTCTCTCTCTCTCTCTCTCTCTCTCTCTCTCTCTCTCTCTCTCTCTCTCTCTCTCGCTTTATATACTGTGTGTGTCTTACCATCATCCCACGGCCACCTTACCTCATTATCCCGCCACTCTCTGCTCCTCCACGCAGCCTCCATACTAACCAAAACTACCCCCGTCAAGAGCCCCCTACCCACCCACCTCCCTCGTGATTTCACACAGCAATCCTGCTAAAACATCCCCTGGGTCTGGGTAGATTAGCTGGGTGACTTTCAGCGTTGAAAATTCCCAAGCGTCTCTGTTTTTAAGTTTGTCATTCCTGGAGACTTGCTGGGGTGGAGGAGGTGAGGTTGGGGGAGTGAGGTGGAGTAAGTGCGGGGAGGGATGAGCCCTGGTATGATGGTGCAGATTTTTTTTTTCTGGGTAGGGCGATGTTGGTGGATAGTGTTGGTGGTGTTGGAGGATTCTATGTGGGGATGTTGGTGATGATGGTGTAGTAGTGTTGGAGATCGTGAGTGAGTACTGGAATGTTGATTACCTCTTAGACTGGATGCTTAATGTGCTACCTGCAGTACACCTTCAGCACTTTCACCATAACCTTCACCACCAGCACTTAATCCTTCACCTTCACATACACCTTCAGTACCAACACCTACAGTCCTACACCTACCACACCTACACCTACCACACCTACACCTACCACACCTACCACACCTACACCTACCACACCTACACCTTCGGTTCCTTATATAGACGTTGATGCGTCCCCTTTAAATCTTCCCTCGTTAAACCATCTTTTAAACGGCCATAACCCCTCCCTCCTCCCTCCTCCTCCCATCCCCATCCCCATCCCTCCCCATCCCTCCCTCCTCCTCCCTCCCTCTTAACTCCATTCCTCTCCTGACATGGATTGATATTTCAAGGAAAGCAGGAAGTCATCATCGTGTGTGTGTGTGTGTGTGTGTGTGTGTGTGTGTGTGTGTGTGTGTGGCTGTGTGTGTGTGTGTGTGTGTGTGTGTGTGTGTGTGTGTGTAATGTGTGTAATGTGTGTCGTATTAATGTGTGTGTGTGTGTGTGTGTGTGTGTGTGTGTGTGTAATAATGTGTGTGTGTGTGTGTGTGTGTGTGTGTGTGTGTGTGTGTGTGTGTGTGTGTGTGTGTGTGTGTGTGTGTGTGTGTGTGTGTGTGTGTGTGTGTGTGTGTGTGTGTGTGTGTGTGTATTGGCCAATGTGTGTGTGTGTGTGTGTGTGTGTGTGTGTGTGTGTGTGTGTGTGTGGCTGTGTGTGTGTGTGTGTTGTGTGTGTGTGTGTGTGTGTGTGTGTGTGTGTGTGTGTGTGTGTGTGTGTGTGTGTGTGTGTGTGTGTGTGTGTGTGTGTGTGTGTGTGTGTGTGTGTGTGTGTGTGTGTGTGTGTGTGTGTGTGTGTGTGTGTGTGTGTGTGTGTGTGTGTGTGTGTGTGTGTGTGTGTGTGTGTGTGTGTGTGTGTGTGTGTGTGTGTGTGTGTGTGTGTGTGTGTGTGTGTGTGTGTGTGTGTGTGTGTGTGTGTGTGTGTGTGTGTGTGTGTGTGTGTGTGTGTGTGTGTGTGTGTGTGTGTGTGTGTGTGTGTGTGTGTGTGTGTGTGTGTGTGTGTGTGTGTGTGTGTGTGTGTGTGTGTGTGTGTGAAAGGTTATATGGAGTGAACTTAAAAGATAAATTGCTTCGGTGTGTCGTAGTTGGGCTCATTACCGGTGTACTTTTCGTCTTTGTCCTCTCGGGTACTTAATATTTTTGTTCTTGTTTTTTCTGTTTACATCGGGATTTTATATTTTATTTATTCGTTATTTTGTGTTTTCGTTTCGTTCGTCTCTATCCACATAATATTTCTTCGTTATTTTTCCTTCAGGTTTCGTTCATTTTTATCTAGTTGTCATTTTTTATTATTTATTATATTAGATCGTGAGAAAGTTTGGGTAAATTTAAATAATTCCACCTTAAGGTGTTTCGAGAAGTAATACTTAACCATCGCAATAATAATAATAATAATAATAATAATAATAATAATAATAATAATATTAATGGAGGCGAGTATCAGTGTTAATAAGTCACTGTCTTCATAGGCGTGGCGGGCCTCACTGACCACTGATATTTGCATTATTATCATGTGCATACCTGGATCTAATTGAGCTATTTTAACGAGTACTGGTGTTGACTTTTACTCGACAGGTAGAACAAGGTATAGAATATTGTCACTCAGGTAAGATTAATGTGCTATTATTATTATTATTATTATTATTATTATTATTATTATTATTATTATTAGTAGTAGTAGTAGTAGTAGTATATATTTATTTATTTTGCGTGTTCGTTATGCAGCAGCCGGAGCCATAAATAATAGTATTGGCGGGAAGGAATCAGTGAGCGGTACACGGTAGAGCTCCGTGGTTGTGGTTCCTCCGACACTTTTCACCCAGATTTAACTGTCGTTTAATTTTTATCTCAAGACAAATTTCTACGAGTGTGGGTAATTATAGCAACTTTTCTCCTCGGTATAAAGGAGCATAAGAACAGTTTAAAATTACCTTTGATGTTTTTATATACCAGCTCGGGCCCGTAGGCATGACCTACTTGCCGCCTCATAAGGAAAATAAAGTTCCTTAAAACTTTTATTTTTCAAGTTGGTTCTTTGTTTAATGAGTTTTTTATTATGATTTTTTTATTCGTAGTAATGTTACAGGTTTTTGGAATATGTTACTGTTAAGAGTTATATATAGTTTATTTTATCAAGCTGTAGCGCCACTCGTTTTCTGCTTCATGTGTGGCTACCTCCCCCAGTACAGGTGTTCATAAGTCATTGTCAGACCACAGGATAACGGGGATTATTGTGTCG